AACTCCTCTCTCCATCACCAAAAACCACTATGTCGTGAAAATCAGTAGAAAAGCCCCGGGCTGCTGCGTTCCCCATGGGGTCCCCTAAGAAAGCCCTTGAGTTGGGCACAGGATCCCGCCTCAAATCATACCGAAGTCATTGTCCTGCTTCCTTTGACCACATTTCAGCCTTGCCCAGAATTTGGTGACTGTTTTTGGTAAATATTTTGGAGACTCTCGTCTGTGTTTGGTATGTTTAATGAAGTCTGTGTTTGACTGAGCCAGAATTAAATAGGAACTGAGGAGAGCGTGTTTGACTGAGCCAGAATTAAATAGGAAGGGGTGTTTTGAACTGAGGAGAGAGACTTGCTCCTTTTTGCAAGGAACAGAGCAAACGGCATAATCACATTTGCTATGAAGGCTCAAATAGCTTGGAGAAGGTTAACTTCCAAACACATCTTTTCTAACACAGGCATATATAAGAACATCAGAAGAGCCCTGCTGGATCAGACCAGTGATCCTGTCTCACACAGGGGCCAACCGGTTCCTCTGGAGGCCCTGCAACAGTGTGCAGAGGCTGAGGCCTTCCCCTGATGTTGCCTCCTGGTGCTGTGATTCAGAGGTTTACTGACTCTGAATGTGGAGGTTTCCTTTAGTTACCATGGCTGGTAACCACTGAAAGACCTGTCTTCCCTGAATCTGTCTAATCGCCTTGTAAAGCCGTGGCCATCACAACATCCTCTGGCAGTGGATTCCACATATTAATCACTCTCTGTGTAAAATAGTATTTCCTTTCGTCTGTTCTGAGCCTACTGCCCATCAGCTTCATTGGATGCCCTCGAGTGCTAGTCTTTTGGGGGAGGGAGGAAAAGTTCTCTTTGCTAATTGTCTCCACCCCACGCATGATTTTATCAACCTCTCTCATGTCTCCCCCCCAGTCGTCTCTTTTCTCAGCTGAAAAGTCCCAGCCTCTCCTCCTCCTGGGGACGGTGCTCCATCCCCCTCCTCCTCTTGGCCGGCCCCCTGGGTACTTTCCCCAGCTCTGCAATGTCCTTCCAGAGAGACGGTTGTGACAACTGCACACAGCATTCCAAATGAGGCCACACACAATAGATCTATAGAGGGGCATGATAGTATTGGCTATTTTCCATCCCTTTCTTAATCATCCCTCACACGGAATTTGCCTTTTTCACGGCTGCAGCACACGGGGTTGGCCATTCCATTCAGCTATCTGCTACAGCCCCAAGATCTCTCTCCCTCACATTCTCAGCAAACCCAGACCCCATTAGCAGATACTTGAAGATGGGGGGTTTTTTTGTTCCAATGTGCATCACCAACTAACACTGAACTTCCTTTGCCACATCACACACACACACACACACACACACACACACCCGCTCACCCTGACTCGCCACACCCCCTCCTTGCCCTGGAGAGATACAGGACTTTAGAACAAGGGGTTGCCCCAGACCGATCAATTCCCTGAGCACAAACCCATCATTGACCCAGCCTCTCTCCCCCTTCACCCAGGACCCCTCGATTCATCGGCACTTAACCAACGCTGACATCTGTTGACCTTCCCAATTGCCCTCCCTGTCCAGTACCTGCAGAGCCGCCAAGTTTTATTTGAGAGTTCTCTGAGGGGGAAAATCTTGGCACGCCTAGATGGAGAACCCCAGCTACCCACCTCTCCCTCTGTCTCCTTTGCTAAATCCCCCCCCCCTGCTAACAAGGGGACTGCCCCTGTTTGAGCAACAGAGCCATGCTGGTTTCCCCTCAGCAGGCTTTGTTCTCATATGTGCCTAAACAAACTTTACTGTAGCGTAAACGTTCGAGAAACATGGCTCTCTCCACCGGATGCATGGAGGGTATGGAGAAACTGGCCAGAGATATAGAGGCGGTGAAGGGAAGGGGGGAGAGGGGGCAGAAAGTGCCAGGTAGGTGCAAAGCGGTTGCAGAAGTCATGGAAAAGGCAGAATGGGCAACCCAGGCTGGGTGTGACCCCTTCCTTCTACCGAGGAAAAAGCTACCTTCTAGCTTTGGAAAAAGTGCAGAAAAGGGCAACTCGAATGATAAAAGGGTTGGAACACTTTCCCTATGAGGAAAGGTTAAAGCGCTTAGGGCTCTTTAGCTTGGAGAAACGACTGAGGGGTGACATGATCGAGGTTTATAAGATTATGCATGGGAAAGAGCAGATAGAGAAAGAGGTACTTTTCTCCCTTTCTCACAATACAAGAACTCCTTGTGGGCACTCCATGAAATTGCTGAGCGGTTGGGTTAGAACAGATAAAAGGAAGTACTTCTTCACCCAAAGAGTGATTAACACTTGGAATTCACTGCCACAGGAAGTGGTGGCGGCTACAAGCATGGACGGCTTCAAAAGGGAATTAGATAAGCCTATGGAGCAGAGGTCCATCAGTGGCTATTAGCCACAAGGTATAGATAGGGACTCTGGGGCAAGTGATGCTCTGTCATCTTGGTGCTTGGGGGGGGGGGTCAACAGTGGGAGGGCTTCTAATGTCCTGGCCCCACTGGTGGACCTCCTGATGGCACCTGGTATTTCTGGCCACTGTGTGACACAGAGTGTTGGACTGGATGGGCCTTTGGCCTGACCCAACATTGGCATCTCTTATGTTCTTATGAGGAATCTGAATGGAACACCTGAAAGGCCCTCACTTCTGGCAGTGAGGTAACCGTCCAAAGTCTCTATTCGATCCAAGTCTCATTGAGTCAAATTTACATATGAATCCGGCAGCTTCCTGTTGGATTTTGGTTCTGAAATGTTTCTGTTGAACTACACTGACAGTCCTTGATGGAATGTCCCGGTGGACTGAAGTGTTCTCCCACTGGCTCCTGGACATTGCCACTTTTGACGTCAGATTTGTGTCCATTTATTCTGGGTAAATTGTTAGTCCCTTGGCGCCTGGCCTAGAGAGGGCCGTGGGCGAAGGTCAGTGCCCTCCTGCCCCTATCTGAGGGCCGCCACACCCATTGCACCCCCTCCCGTATGACCTGGGGGAGCCGCCTACTGGGCCACCCACTCATCCTTGACCACTCCTTGGCTCCCTGCCCCAGCCTCTGGCATCTCCTTCAGGGCATCACCCGTCTTTTGGGCTGCCAAGAATTCTGGGTCCCTGCCCAGGGTGGGGTGATGGGGAGGGGAGGGGAGGGGAGGGGGGCGATGCCTTTGGCTCAGTGGTGGTGCTGCTGCTCCTGCTGCGATGCCGGAGGCTGCCTTCCCACAGTGTTCCTGGCCTGGCTGCTGTGGTGCCCGCCTCCTGGCCAGCATCTCCTGCTCTCTGGCGGCCATGATCCTCGCCTCCCTGCCGGCATCATTCTTCTCTGCCTGCTGGTGAGTTCAGGGAGTTGGAGGAGGCTCTTTGGGGTCTGCTGGGGACCATCCTGGCTTTTTCCTGGGCAGCTGCGGCGACTTCGGCTGGGCCACGGCTCACTTCTGACTCCAGACACTTCTCATTACGTTTATACTCTCTGTCCTTAAGTTAGGGGCAATATTCATTATTAAGTAGTTTGAATTCAGGTTTGCCTAGATTAATTTCCCTGAATGGAGCTACTGAATTCCATAATCTCATAAAGACTTTTCATGTAGCATTGAACTTTTCACCAGAAATAAAAAGATGCTGATCGTGTGTGAGCTGCACTGGTTCCCTTAGCTCAATTCCTTTACTTTACAGAGGTCCAGTTTAAAGCAGGCAAGCATCAGATATGGATAAAAATCAAACTGCTGGTGTTCCTGTAAAGTTTGGAAGTGGTTTTCCCAGGGGAAACATGCAGTATAAAATTCAGAAACAATAAATACATATAATTGCAGGTGAGACAGGTTGATGTAAAACATGGTTGGCCTGCAGATTCACTGCCAAGCTCTGGGTCATGGGATTAAAAAATTACTTATAAATCTGTAGGGTGTATTATCATGGTTTTATCTCAAGATACCATAAACGATTCCTATGTATTTTAATTCCTTTGATGAAAAATCGTGTTCTATTTTGATGGAATCACATTGCTATAGCTTATTTACTGATGCAATATAGATAGTGATGATGAAATTTTATATATATATACACACACATGCACACACGTGCACGGGCGCATGTGCGCACACTTTTTAGTGTTTGCTGCCTCTGGCCACATCTGGCTGTGACAGAAAGCTCTTGTCCACAAGGGGGGATGAAGGCAGCTGCTTGTGTCGCTCAGAGTTTGGACTCTGGCCGGAAGGCAGGCCCTGGATGACCACCCCCATTGGTCACCACCACAAACTGGCTCCCCTCCACAGACTCCGTGGAAATGTGTAGAAGCTGTGAAGTAATCAGGACTCGCTCTTGCATCTTTTCATCGAATGCTACTTCAGAGAAGTTCCCAGGGAACTGTGCTCTGCACATCTAGACAGCTATTATGCCTAACAAATTAAAGTGATGCATAAGCTATAATTAAGAAAAAAACAAAAGAAAGTTGTCTGCAGGAGCAGTGATGTATAGTGTGTAGCCATTTAATACACCTAACCATAATAACCAGTTAGCCTTCAGCTTGGCAGTTGACAAATTTGTGTGTTTTTGTGTGTTCCGTGACAAACCCATGATTTTTCTGTTTGATTTGTACTTTCTTTAATGGTTGCTTGTGTGACTTTTCTTCAAACTAGTGATTAAACTACAGAACTTTTTGTGTTTTTTCCCATTCAATAACATTCAATTAACTCTTCATGGATTTATCTGACACTCTAAGAAGAGAGAGTTTTCTGCATTTAAAATGTATAACTCCAGGCCCTTCAATGGAGGGCTAAGTAATGTTTTGGGGAGTGATTTGCAATTATTTTAAATTAAAGGTTTCTCATCAATTTTCTTTAAATCCCTGTGGGGTCTAATAGCAAATGGACCTTGTTAAGCATTCACACTGAGCCGGGCCTCATCTTCTGGGGCGCTCGGAACAATGATTCTCTCCATCTGAAATACATTCGCAAACGACACAGCTGCATTTTTAATAAGGTCTTGATTGTGTGTGTTGTGGGCACGCAGGAGAGCAACGAATCACCGGTGGGGGATCTGCACTCCAAGGGCAGGAATGCGGGGAAAGCGGCGTGGGCGGCACTCTCTTCTATGGCGGCAGAAGGTTGGGCTTGTAACTGCAGACGAAGGGCAGCTTCTTGCCGCAGTCGGAGCCGTCCCAGTCCCCCTGGCCTGGACGAGGACAAAAAGAAAGGCGTGTGAATGAGAAGCACAGAACTCTCACCAGCATCTTCTCTGCACAGATAGTCCGGCAGTCCCTGAGGGCGGGGCCGGCGGCAGCGTTCCCTGAGGCGGAGCGGCTGCCAGGCCCAGGGCTGCTGACTCCGGTCGGACTGTTCCACAGTCTGCTGGTGCGGGCTGGGTCACTTCCAATGTTCCCTCTAAGCTGTGTAGTCTTGTGAGCAAAAATGCTACTTGGTGAGCTCCTGGCATTAAAGTTGTGAGCGAGCGATTGGGCTAACTGCTTAAATTAGTTTGCTTTGGAGCCCTCCTTCCTGAGCCAAGACAAAAATGTGTGAGCCAGAGACTAAAAAACTGTGAGCTAGCTCACAGTAACTCAGCTTAGAGGGAACTCTGGTCCCCTCTGCCCCCAGCTGCACACCCTGCCCAGAGCTGCTGGAGAAGGGCATATGGGTGGTGCGCAGAGGATTGGCACTAGTGGTGGCCAGGGCAGTGGCACTCCCTGCACCATTGGGGAAAAGGCACTCAGGTAGGGTGGGCAGCTGGGACCAAAAAGCTTGCAAGTGGCCAGAGGAAGGGTTGGTGGACAAGAAGGGTGGCCTAGTAGTCGGCCATAGGAGGCCTCCCCCCAAAAAAAAAAATCCGGAGCTTTCTCTGCCTTAAGGCCTGACTTTGGAGGAAGCTTTTCTTCCACCTCTGTTTCTCACAATGGATTAGTGCATGGCTCTCCCTCTGAAGTTCCTTCTCTGAGGAGTTCTGTGTATGCCTACAGACATCTCCCTGGATCACCGCCAGTCCATTGGACCCTTCTGGTTGGAGGTGGGAAGTCTGCAGTAGAGTCCCCTGTAAGGGATTCCCAGGGATGCCACAAGAATTTGAACGGGACACCATTTCCCAACAGACCTCTGCACATTCATTCAACCAGGAATCACAGGGCTTTCCTTGCAGGCAGGCAGGCAGGCACCCCTCTCTCACGCCTTGTTCCTCCCTGGCACTAAAGGAGCAACAGGCAGCTGACATCCCCTCCAGCCGGGCACTGAACTCAGCTCTGAATGTGTTTGACAAAAAGGTTGGCCTGCTTTGAAACAAGGCCAGAGGCTGCGTACAAATCACCACTAACCTTCCTTCTGATGCATCCCCCTCCCCCCCCGATGCTGGCTGTTTTCCTAACCAAGTATTAAAATGAATCTTCCCAGCTGGCTAGACTCTAATGATTTCTGCGTGGGAACAAAATACAAGGAAACAGAAGGAGGGCATTATCAATTGCCTAGGAAATGACCAGAACATACAGATCTGTTAGACAAAACTCTTTGCTGAAAAGTGAGATTTTTTTTCAGGGTCTTGGATAAACGAAGCAAATACTTGGTAGGACTAGAGGGCTTTTTTGGTGGGGGGGACTTTTGAGGACTCGTGAGCGCAGGGAAACCCCATTTCCTCCTCTCCTGTGGGCTCTCTTTCCCACGGTAGAGAAAGGGTCCTGGCTGCCTGGGTTACCACTGAGCCGAGGGAACGAAAAAGAGGGGCTGGGAAATGGTCAGGCGGCTGTCGGAGATGATGCCGCAGGGCTCGTTTGAAAGCCTGCCTCTGGCAGGGGCGCTGCTGCACATTCTGTCTGCAGGATCTCACCCAGCTCAAGCATTCAAAATTGCTCACAGTCCAGCGATGCCTATTCCAGACTTGGCTGCATTGGAGCCTCATATTAGCAATGACACTGAGGCCGGATTCTTTGCGGATAAAATCTTTCTCCGCCAGTCCGACAAGCTCTGGTAGCAGCACCTATCAGGCAGCAGAGATGTCAGAAGCGTTGTCTGGTCGTGTTTATCTGGATAGCTTTGGATTGGTCTCCCTGATGGATGTTGACAGGACTATGGGAGTTGTGAAGGCCACTTCCTGCCAGTTAGGTCCAGGAAGTGGTTGATTAAAGATTCTGGGAAATAGCCCTGCCAGAGAACAGTTAATAACCCAAGTCAGTGGCACTCTCAGCTTCTCCGCATGTGATGTAAAGGAAGCAAATATGACACTACTTCTGTGCGGGGGGTGGGGGGGGGAGGGGACACCCTCTTTGCCAGTGAAGGGTCCTGCAAGATACAGGCCTCTCTGTGAGGTGACGGAGGTGGTTTGGCACAGTGTCTCCAGGGTTTCCTGGATAATACAGCTGCCCTTAACCCTTTCAGTCTGGCTTCAGGGCTGGTTTCCGACTGGAGATGGCACTGGTGACCATGGCACATGATCTCCACAGGCAGGTGCTCAGAGGCTTTGCTGCTCGTTTTCTTAGCTCTGTCAGCAGCACAGGAACACCATGTGATCCTTCTGAAGCGCCTGGAGCACCAGGTGGACTCCTGAGTTGATTTTGATCTCTCTGAGACAAAATGCCACAAGCGGTGAGGGGAGAGGGGGCCCAGTGCTCCGCCTTCTCCTATGTGCTGTTTAAAGTGATGTGTGGCCACTTTGTGGAATTATCTAGAGTTCTGCCATCATCACTAGTATACCACGAATACCCCAGCTGTATACGTCCTTCCGACTAAGCCCCCCAGATGTGGCTGCCTCAGTTCTGGAGTCTGGAGAACAAGTTAGTGGCATCCAGATGAGGCTGTTCTGTACTGGGCTGGAATCTCCCAGGCTGAGCTTGGAGCTCTGGAACAAGAGACCGCCAGGATTCTAGAGGTCACCAACGAGGAGACAATGTTATGCAAATAGCGTATCGTTGGGAGTGGGGTGTGTTTGGGTGTGATTCTTGCATGCTACTTAAACAGGGCAGTTGCCCCGGAGTCTTCAGTCTTGTTCCTGAAATCACTAAATAAAGTAGAGCTGTTCACTGCAATGCTTCTTGAACCCAGCACTGAACAGGTGCTTGAGGTCAAAGTCAGAGGGGTAAAGTTTCAGAGGTCTCTGCAGGAGAACAGCCATCGGTTCACGTCTGGGAGCACCGTGTACAGACCAACAAAGTCTTCGGGCTGTGAGCGCTCAGGAGTCAAAGCTCCCTTTGTCAGAGGGGCTCAATTTATTGTCATTAGACAGTGTAGCCATAGGGCATTCAGTTAATGAGACCAGGGATATCCCTGGATCCAACCCTGTGGATGGAAAAGCAGGCCAGTGGTGCTGCTAGAAATGCTTCCCCCTCCAGTTACATCCGACTAGAAAACTAGGTTCCAGCCTGGATAGGGATGATCTAGAGATGCCGACACGTGGTCCTCGCAGCCTCAGGGGTGGACCACTGCCTGTGAAGGGAGGTCAGACACTTCCCTGAGGGCAGCAGAATGCAGGTGCAGGTGCTGTTGGGGGGGAGCGAGCCCCCCCCCCGTGGCTCTGCTTTGGACATTCGGAAGCCTCAGACCCTGGCTGCCGCTGCCACCACCACCCGGCTTCCACGTCGAGTCCAAAGTGCTGGATTTAACCTCCAAAGCTCTTAATGGCCTGGCACCAGCACGCCCCCCCCCCCGGCGTGTCACGCTGATCCCAAAGGGGGGGCGGGCTGCTCGCAGGGATGCCGAGGGTGGTGTTTCCACTGGTGCTCTGGCACTTTCCGTGGCGGCAGACACATGCAAGGAGGAGGTTCAGAGGTGACCTGGGGGGGGCGCCAGCATGTAGGGCAGGGCTATTTTTAAAGCACCTTTAGAAACTGACCTGCAGTTGTGCTTTATTGTTTCCATTTGTCATTGCTGGGCTTCGTGTTTTAATGTTTACGGTGCTGTTTGTAAACCTGCCCTGATCTGGACGTCCCAGGAAGCGTAGCGGAGTCAGCCCTGGTTCCTACTCGGGTGGGAGACTTCTGCAGCCGTGCCGGGTTGTCACACAGAGGCAGGAAATGGCCAACCACCTCCGAGACGCCTCTCACCTTGAAAACCCTCCAGGATCACCACAAGTCGGCCGTGACCTGATGCTACTTCCCACCACCCCCACGGTACAGCTGGAAACCATTTCAGATGTATGACAGAAAAGCATCGTAGAAATCGGCTGAGTAAATAAACAAAAGCCAGCCTGACCCTCCCTCCCCCCCAGCTGTTGTTGGTGCCATCAGATCTCCTCCCCCCTGTTGCCCCTGCCAGCATTTGGGCACCATTTTGGGTTGCTACAGAAACACAAAATGCTGTTGTTGCACTCTGGTACTTTTTTTAAAAAAATCTGCACATGCACAGAAGTCACTGTTAAATTTGGATGGTTTACCCCCCCATACTTAATGTTTAGGTCCGCTGGATTTTCCCCTGCAAACTTAAGGGGAAAGCCTTAAATCCCCGCTGTAGCCTGCTAGCCAGTCACCGGCTATCAGAGAAGGGCAGTACCTCCGACATTTATATTTAGCTTCACGCAGATGCGAATGCTCAGCAGAGCGTTGACGGCGCTTCCAGCCATGCTGAGAATGGAAGACAGGGGGCGCTGGAAGAAACTGGTTGTGGAGCCATCCGTCCACTGGAGCGAGGAGCCCTGCGTGAAGCAAACAAACAAACAAACCCAGAATAGAACTTAATAGATTGATGAAATATTTCAGATACTCAGCTTTTCCAGGAGAGGAGAACCTGGATGCCTGCAGTGAAGTACTGAGTGAAATGAAGTGTTAAAACAGTGCTGAGCTCAGGGCCTGCTGACATCCCGTGCTAAGAGGCCACGGAACACTGCCCCCCCACCCCCCAAGTGGGGAGTGAATAGGGTCGCCAAGTCCAAAATTACTTACAGCGGGGGAGTCCTGCGCCGTCCCGGGAGTCTGTGTGGGTACGTTGGGGGTGGGGCCACTAGGATTCGAGGGGAAACCATAGAGTTTTCCCTCAAATCATAGAGCGTCCCGCCCCCAACATGGCCAGTGTGATGATGTCAGCTCTGGGTGACATCATCTCGCTGGGGACGTGTGCCGGAAGGGGGTGGAGTTCCCCCGGGGCCCGATTTGCTGGTTGTGGGTAACAGGCCTCTTGGGCGGGGGGTTACCTGCCCCCCCCCCGGGGGGACTTGGCAAACCTAGGAGTGAATAATTTTGCATTTCTTTAAAAAAATCCAGAGGCCCCTTATAAACTGAAGCCCTCAGGTGCCGCTTCCTTAGTCTGGGCGTAGATCCAGGCCCGGCACTGGGGTTTCCTTGACTCTGCCACCCAGCCTTGTTCTGTGCGCCCAGATGATGGAGACTTCCAGTCAGACAAAGTGAAGTTCTGTTCTAATATGCAAGTCTGATAAGACATTACTGGCATCAATTGTGTTATCTTTCTTGAGCCTGCTACAATTTCAGGTAGGAAGTGTGCAAAATCTGCAGAAGTTTTGAGATGGGCAGCATAGTCTGGAAATGCCACAGCCCCTGCCCCCACGCCTGACCAGCCCTGGATCCAGAACCCCCAGTGGCAGAGCAACACTCCCCGCTGCGTGCGCGAGGTAGCAGGAGGGGGCCGTGAAGTAGTCACCCAGAGTAGTCTACACACTACCAACAAGTACAACAAACAGACTGTCAGACAAGTCCACACTGCCAGTGGCAGAGATATAAGACGGAGCTCTTCCGCCAGGCATTCAATTACGGGCCGCTGCCGTTGGACCGCCGTTGGATCGCCCGACTGTTGCAGCACCTGGCCCATGAGCCACCATCGAGTTGTTAGCTTAAGGAAACTACGAGCAGAAAACACCTTGGAACATTGGGAAATGGAAACCCATTGAAAATGTGTCATTTAAGTGGCTTTTCATTGCCGCCAGCACTTTATGCTTGTTGATTTGCAGTGTTTTTGATAATTGTGTTTTTAAGCTGTATCTATGTCGTGTTGGAAGCTGCCCTGAGCCTGCTCTGCGGGGAGGGCAGGGCACAAATTTGATAATAAATAAATAAATAAATAAATAAAAGTGACTAGACACCCCAAGCCTGAGCCCTCCCTATGAGGCAGAGATGGCAACACCCTTTGGGTCGGTCAGGGCTGCCTGAGGGAAACTGTTCTGTCTCTTTAACTGAGTCTTGATGTGTGGAAGTGGGCAACTTAAAAGCCTTTCATGACACGGAGGGAAATAATACCCCATTAAGCCTCTGTTAAAAAGCCAGGACACCTTTTCCGAGGCCCTTGGCAAGCCAGGGGTGCAGGCAGGAGTCTCTGCCCTTTTCAAAGAAGGATCTTGGGAGGCTACAGAATGTCATTCCACACTGTCCTCAGCATAAATGAGGAAGCTACGAGGAACGTGTCCTGCAGGACGGATGTCGGAAACCAAACTTGCTGTTGCTGCTATGAAAACCATTGGAAAATAGTCAGATTGCCGGGGGGAGGGGGGGCTATTTCTCTCTTTATGCAACTTGAATGTTGTATTTCTCCTGCTCATGATTCTCCAGACTTGTTGAGCCTGTGGGCACTCTTATCATTTGGAGAACAGCTAGAGGGCCACCACCGCAAAATGGCTGCCATTGGGAGGCCTTAAAAAGGGAGTGGACAAGTTCATGGCTACCAGTCGTGATGGAGGTCCACTCCCTCCAATGCCAGAGGCAGAATGAGCCCTCTTTCTGTCAGTTGCTAGCAATGCTCCCTCTAAGCTGTGGAGTCTTGTGAGCAAAAATTCTACTTTGTGAGCTCCTGGCATGAAAGTTGTGAGCGAGCGATTTGGCTGCTGCATAAATCAGTTTGCTCTGGAGCCATCCTGCCTGAGCTAAGACAGAAATGTGTGAGCTGGAGGCTAAAAAACTGTGAGCTAGCTCACACGGACTCAGCTTAGAGGGAACATTGGTTGCTAGGGAGCCCCCGGGCAGGAGGAGGAGGAAGAGGAGGCTGTCGCAGTCCTTTCGCCTATGGGCTTCCTGGAGGTAGTTAGCTGGCCTCTGTGTGAGACGGGAGGCTGCCCTAGACAGGCCCTTGGTCAGACCCAGCGGGGCTCTTCCTTTGCTCTTATGAAGTGGAGCCAATCACAAAAGGGCTGCCACAGGGTGCGGCTGCAAAATCTTGGGGGGGGGGCCCACTCCAAGCATCCTCCCAAGCCGGTTCTTGGTAGGCGCTCCCTGCAGAGTGACCCCACGGCGACGAGGCCTTTGGAAGTCTTCTGAAGCTCCTCCTGCTCAAAGAGGGCAGAGGAAAGCCCAGGTGGGCCTTCGACTTCAGGCCAGAGCTGCCTTGGGGAGGAAGCGCGAGAGCACAGGAGACGTGCCGGTGGGCACAGTGGCCCCCGCGGGCACCACGCTGGGGATCTCTGCTCACGGCCACCCCCGAGAGCTCCGGCTCTCCCTCCTCGTCCCTGCGGCAGCACCCCAGCAGCCCTCGACGCGAGCAGAATGCTCTCCGGAGACCTCTTGGTCATGCAGGACTGCCGCTGGCCACAGGGTTAGCTGCTGTGGTGACGGCACTGCGGCAGGAGAGCCGAGGGAGACCCCTTTGGTGACATGGAGTCTACGTGCTTTGGCAGGGGAGGGGTCCCGGTACATGGCACCGCGGGAGCCTTTTCAGCAACTCCAGGGTTGTGCATGTAAGGTATATATTTTGCTTTCAGTTATTACAGTGCTACTTTCTTTTAGCTGGTAGCACAACTATATTTTGTGACAGCAGTGAATAGGCCTATGGTGGCTGAGCGAAGGGTGCAAAGAGGGTGTTGGCTGAACTTGCCTTCCGGTGACTTCCTCCTGTCCAGAACTGGGCCGTTCGGTGTCCCGCGTGAGTGGCCAGGCGGACAAGGAAATCGTTGTGCTCAGCGCTTACGATGCTGGTCAGGTGCCCTCCGTTCACGGCTCTTTGGCAGGCCCTCTAGGAAACAAGTCAGAGGAGGCTGGGCAGCAAGGAGGAGGAGGAGGAGGAGGAGGAGGAGGACAGCGGACATCTGGGAACAACACGCCACATCAGGCGAGGGAGGGAGGGAGGGAGGGAAGGGGGATGGTGGCCGAAGGTGCCGCGGCGGAGTCTCAGCCCAGCGACTCGGCCCAGAGGGGCTCTCTGAGGACAGAGACATTCCGAGGTGGTTCGCCACCTCTGCCTGCCTCTGCCTCTGCCTAGCGGCCCTGGGCCTTCCCTGGAGGTCTCCCACCCCAGTGCTAACCAGGGCTGACCCTGCTTAGCTTCCGAGATCTGGTGAGGTCAGGCCAGGCAGGGCATCCGGCCACAGTCAGACCACAGACATCTGGCATGTCTGACCAGCGACTACGGTGGGGTAGAAGAGGCGGATGCACCATCCATCTCCTCCTCTCCATGCCACCGGTGGCAGCGGGGACATGAGAAAGCAGAGAAATCATTCATTGCCGCTCTGGTCATGATTGGATCTGAAGAGGAGGTGTGCAGTGCACATGAAAGCTGATACCTAGACTCCAACTTTGTTGGTCTTCAAGGTGCCCCTGGACTCAAACTCTGGTCATGATGGTGTCCACTTTAAAGCAAACGTTTCTGCAAACCCCTGAGGGGATCCTTGCTCCTAATTCTCAAGCACTTCCCGGTTTCCTTTGTAAGTTGACCCCATATTGCAGACAGCACAGTTGAATGTTCAGCCGTTTTTATGTGAACAGTTTGCACACCTTCTCAGTTGTGCCAAAGAAAGTCAGTTGGACGTGTGTATTTTCCGACCACTTTTGGGTTGTGGTGTATTTACTGTATGCATTACAATGGAACGGTCTGCTCCCCCCACCACCACCCCTCTGATATTTGTGTGGACTGGTTTAGTCCATGAAACATTCACAGTCTCTGCGTGACCCACCTTGAATATAGCTTTGGAGAAAGACGGGTTAAAAAGTGCTCCAAATAAATAAATGCATAACATACACTTCACAGTGAGTGACTCAGAGATAGGAGGAGGCGCCTCTTAGCTCTGCCTCCCTTCGCTTTCTTTAACAGGGAAACTAAGGCCCTCTGTTCAGATGGGGAATCAGGCCTGTAGCCTCTGGAGACTTTGGTCGGTGGGGCGCTAGGAAATTGGGGGAGGGCAGGGGAGAACTTTTTGCACTTAAGGAAACCCTCACCCCGGGCCCTCACGGGGGGGGGGAGCTGCAACTTTCTTTACTGAGCATTGCCGGTCCCATCCTCTTCAGGCCAGCCGGCTGCGGCAGGAGGAATGGTGGCTCTTCTTTGGCTCCCGTCTCTCCCTTGCAGCAGGCAGGCAGGCAGCTTCCCCCTGCCCACTCTGCCCCTTCCTCCTGCCCGCTGAGGCGATGTGCCAGTTCTGTCCCGCCTGCACGGGGAAAACCACTCGCTCCCCTCTTTAGCCTCGTGGCCAGCAGGGTGGGCTCCTCCCTGGCACAGGCACATGGGAGGGAGGGAGGGAGGGAGGGAGGGCGGAGAGGGAGGGAGAGCTGGCGGGTGCCAGGACCAGCAAATCAGGGAAAGACACAGAAAACCAGGCTGCGGGCAGAGCGCAGCATGCAGCACAACTTTCCCGTATGTACCAAAATAAACATTTTTAAAAAGGGTTTCTAGCGGCAGGACTTGTGGGGCAGGGCTGTTGTCTGAGGGGGCATAGCCCCAAAATGCCCCACTGAAGCTACGGGCCTGTTGGGAATACCTAGGACAAGCACATTCTGACTATACTTGGCCCTAGTTGTTCCCACCCCAAACTCTTTGGTGTTTAAGGGGGGGGGGGAAATCAGCTTACAAAACAATTTGTTTTTCCACAACTAAGTCTGGTCATGAGTGTATCTTTTGTTCTTTATGTCCTAAATGTGTGCCCCTCCATGGCTAAGGCAGCTTTGGCCACTTTCATTTCAAGTTCTGATAATGAATACGTTGACACTGCAGTCCTAAATAGTGTTTGGAGTTAATGGGCTTAGAAGGAAGGTGACTCCACAAAGGAGTGTGCTGAAATGGACGGAGGGTCTTTGAGCCACCAGCACCCTTGGGGCCAACTTCATCCTTGCTATAATGGAGTGGGGGCTGAGCACTGAGGTGTCCTTAGTCACGGAGGAATGCACCTTTGGGGTATCCTGGCTGCCAGGAGAAGAGGCGAAGAGCAGGAGGCTGAAGGCCACCAACTGTGGTAGTGTAGAAACCGCACATAAAGCTAAACTCAGTGACTTTTGAAAGAGGCACCCCAGGATGACTGTTCCAGCATGCCTCGTTTACAGTTTCCCGGCCACCAGGCCAAAGGCTGCCACTGTTGTGTTTTTATTGTTTTTTATTTATATCCTGCCTTCCTCCTCAATCGAGACCCAAAGCAGCTGACATTATTCTCCTCTCCTCCATTGTATCCTCCCAACAGCCCTGTGAGGTAGGCGAGGCTGAAGAGATTGAAGAAGAGAAGAAGAAGAGATTGGATTTATACTCTGCCCTTCGCTATCCGAAGGAGTCTCAGAGTTACGGACATCATAGCAAAAGTGGAAAGGATTGAAGGAAGACAGCAAAGGGGGCTGATGCCCCCCCCACACCCCTGCCCGGTACCTCTGCTCCTTCCCACGTCTTTGGCTCCTGGACAAACAAGTAGCATTGGCCCATGTAACTGAACCAGCCATCACGACAGCCGCCCTGGCAAAAGGACGCTGGCTCTGCCGGAAGAGCAGGTGGGGCTTGTGTGGTGGCAGGAGGAGGAGGGTCGTTATTTCCAAAAAGGTTTCCAAGCAGGAACCGCACTCTACGCTGGCTGGCCCCTGAAAGATCGCAGAAACACACCCATGTCCACATGTCAGGTTGCCACTAAACAAAGCCCGTAGCAAGCGGCTGTCTTTTAAAATAATATTAACATCTTCTATACAGAGCAAGAAAAGTAAACGAAAAGAACTTCTTGGGGGGATATCAGTGCACCAAGAATGGCTCCCCAGATGTCACAGGAAACAAACAGGAAGAGGTCTCAGTTGATCTGACCTATCAGTTGATCACATCTGTCTGCAATCTCCTGAGAGCCAGAACGGGTGTGATGAACAAGATCACAGATTTCCACCCAGGTCTGTGCATGTGCACACGCATGCACATGACTGTGCACACACTGCCGTCATTTGGATTGGGTCTACAGAGGGTTTAACCCTTCAACCCCCTCTCAGTTTTGCTGCTCGGAACTGGCGAGGAGTGTGGAAGCAATAAAAAACTATCTTTCCCCCTCCCTTTTAATATCAACCAATGGAAGTGTCACAGGCCCATAGACAGGATTTTTTAAGTCAGGGGGTGTTTAAATTTCTTAGGGGGTCACTGGCTGATCAAATTAACCCGGGGGAGAAGGCCGTGACGCCCTGGGCTGGATGGGAAGTCAGGGGGCCGTGCCAGCAAGTTGGGGGGGGGGCGCTGCTGGAGCTACGGGCCTGAAGGGTCATGTCAGCTAATGAACCTAAGAGGAGGCTGATGGGGGTTTCAGCCCCGTCCATCCTTTTCCCCTCCCCGTGGGCCTCAGTCCAAATCCCTGCTATGCATATGCAATTCGTATCTTACACACAGCAGTCCTGTTCTTCATCTCACGGCTTTCGGCACTTAATGCCTACGAGTTGCCCAGGCACACCCACAAATACAAGGTTGATTTTGTGTAGGAAGAAAGACATCTTGAGGACCACAGTTTGTTTTTGTAGCAGCCAGGAGCTTCAAATAATAGAAAAGAGCAAGAGTAGCCCCTTAAAGACTTCCAAAATTTGTGGCAGGTTTTGACCCTTTGCGAGTCACTGCTCGACTCACGGAAGCTCCTCCCCTGCCACCAATTTCACTAGTGCTGAAGGTGCTCCTGGACTCTGGCTCTTTTCTCCTGCTGCAGAAAGACTTAACATGGCTGCCCATCTCAATCCATCAAACAGCAGACCACCTAGACTGACTAATCATGGAACGACCACAGGCCGGAGCAGCCAGTTGCCAGCTGGTCTGCGGAGTAGAAGAAGGTTCAGGCAGGGATTCCTCCCTGCAGTCACTCCACGCACGGTCTCTGCCTGCACGCTCTGTGGTGCAGACCGTGTCCAGGGAGCCTTTGGAGGGGGCAGATACTGCCTCCAGGGTGAGGCCGGGGCCAGGATCAGTGGCCATGACAACCCCCTCCGCCCAAGCCTCCTGGGTCACCTGCCAAAGGCTCCTGCGGTTCCCCCCCTTGCCGAGCTGGGCAGGTCCCCTCTCACCGCAAAGGGACCTGAGGGGGGCTCTGTGGCAGTTTGCAAAAGGAATCGGGGTGTAGCGGGGGGAGGGGATGCCCCTCGGGCTGGCTTGGGCCCTCCTTGCAACCACTGACAGCAGCGTAACCCCCAAAACTGAGCATCCATGGGAAAGAATGCATGTCCTCGTTCCACAGCATTCCGGCCAGTACGTACCTACCTGCTGGGGCACCTGCTCATCCCAAAGCTTGTCTGAGAAATCACATGACGTGGATCCTCATACATGTGCATCCTATGTTGTGGCCACTGTGCCGGCATGCAACATGCCTGCACAGGGTATTACTTACAGCCAGGGGTCATTTCCTGCAGGAGCGCACAGGAGCGGAGCTCCGGCAGTAAAGAGGCCAGGGGGCGGGCACATGCAACAAGCCCCACCCCCTGCTCCCAGCAGCCCTCAGTCAGAGCAAGAAGCAGCCAGGTAAGCTGCAGAGGCCCGCACCCCCCTGGTCCAAAACAGTCCAGGGGCACCTTTAAGACCATGTTTTATTCAGGCACAAGCTCTCCCTCCCCTGCGAGGACAGATCTGCCCGTTCTCCCCCCCCCCCCAATAGCTAGCAGTCCGAAACAGTCCAGTGGAGCCTGAGCGGTGGGTGTTGCCTTCTGACACGCTTCCGGTGATGTCAGGGGGTGTGGCATATGCAAATGAGTTATGCTAATGAGTTAGACTAATGAGCTCCTGGACCTCTTTTTCTAAAAAATGGCCCCTGCTTACAGCCACACACATGAAGCTGCCTTCTACAGAACCACACCCTGGGTCCTTCAAGGTGATGCACACTGGGACAAACCCCCCCCCCCCAACTGCAGCAGTGAAAAAGGCAAACTCTGCGTTCGGGATTCTTAGGAAAGGGACTGAGAATAAAACTGGCCCTATTGTAGTGCCCCTGCATAGATCTATGGTCCAGCCTCCCTTGGAATACTGTGTGCAGTTCTGGTCCCCGTATCTCCAAAAGGACACTGCAGAGCTGGGAAAAGTACAGAGGAGGGCGGCCAAGATGACTGGGGAGGTTGGAGCCCCTTCCCTACCTATGAAAGGAAAGGCTGAAGAGTCTGGGACGTTTCAGTTTAGAAAGGAGACAACTAAGAGGGGACATGAGAGAGGTTGATAAAATGATGCATGAGGTGCGGAGAGGTGACAAAGAGAACTTTTTCTCCCTCTCCCAAAATACTAGGGCATCCAGTGAAGCTGATGGGCAGTAGGTTCAGGATGGACAAAAGGAAATACTACTTTACACAGAGAATGATTAAAATGTGGGGTTCACTGCCGGGGGATGTAGCGATGACCACACGATTAAACCACTTGAAAAGGGGATTAGACAAGTCTCCTAGATAACGGCTACTAACCATGCTAGCTGAGGGGAACCTTTACATCCAGAGGCACTAATCCGCTGAATCCCAACATCGGGGGAAGGCCTCGGCCTCTGGGCCCTGGGACTGGCTGGCCCCTGGGCGAGAGGCGGGATGCTGGACTAGAGGGACCCCCACTGCTCTGATCCAGCAGGGCTCTTCTGGCGTTCTTAGGTCCGTACCGCTGACTCAGACTGACAGCAGCTCTCCAGGCGAAGCCATGTCTTTCACATCACTTCCTGCACAATGGCCTTAACTGGAGATGCTGCCGCTGGGCCTGAGGCTGGGGGCTTCCCCTGTGCCACGCACGCCCCGCGGTGGATATCCGTGAGCTGGCCCTTTGCCCTTTCTGGAAGGACTCCGATACCCAAAGAGAGAGAGAGAGGGGATATCACTGCCTAATAAATACACTTCATACCCACAAGGACGAGTCCTGCAGGTTGCCAACTGATGGGCCATCCGGGACAGCTGCCCCTCAGAGCTCGTCTTTCCAGCGGGGGGGGGGGGCAACATGCCACCAAAGCCAAGATCTTATGAGGGGATGAGTTTTTCCTACAGGCTGGAAGTTGTTGACTCACCTTTGAGTTCAGGGAGAAGCAGGGCTCCCAGGAAGAAAAGCAGAAGGGGTTTCATTGCTCAGAATAAACAGCACATTCACCTGGAAGCAATAAAAGCCGCCAATGAAGACAAAGCTCCCATTTCCTTTTGCTCTGACTTCATCCTTGGAGCTTAAGCTCTGCTGCCTGATGCTGTCGAAGGGACTACCAGTCCCAGGGTTGCCAACCTCCAGGTGTTGGCTGGAGCTCCCCAGGGATCACAGCTGATCTCCAGAGCACAAGGGCCAGGGTCCCCCTGGAGGAGGAGAAGGAGGAGGCGGCGGCCGCTGTGGAGGGTGGCGTGGCACCCCACGGAGGCACTTCCCCTTCCCAGGCCCCGCCCTCCCTGACTCCGCCCCCAAATCTGCAGGGAGTTCCCAACCTGGGGGTGGCAGCCGGACCGACTCAAGCAGAAGCAAGCCATTTCCCTGACAGGTCAGGTGCCTCATCCCTATAGCACAACAGGAACTTCCCAGGCTGCAAAGGATGGACTCGCAAATCACACTCCCAGCGGCAGCAGCTGGCGCCTGCATCTGTAGGACTTGAATGATCCCCCCCCCCATGTATGTCTTTATATGGGATGCAAAAACATGCATGCAGCTGCCTTGGTGGCTCTTGTGAGGGCAGAAGTGTGGGACACAAATTTTGCAAATAAAGAAATAAAGCACACGCCTCGTCAGTGTCTCTGCTGTGCGACAGCCTCCCATCAAGACAACACGTGGGCTCAGAGGTCCTTTCCCTTTGACCCATGGGGGCCAGGAGCCCAAGCACATTCTCTGATCACAGAAAACACATTTAGGGCCCTGGGCTCCATCTTGGTGGTGTCCACCAGAAGCAGGGGGGGTGGGGGGTGGCTGGCTGGCCGGCCGGCCAGGGCCTTTGCCCAGGTTCTTGCCTGGGGGGTGTGCCTTTATGGATGCAGGTGGCTGGGAGTGCTGAGCAGGCCCGTCTGTGCCCACTGGCCGGTTGGCATTCAGGGACTGGGCTGAGCTGGGGATAGGGCTGCCAGCCTCCAGGTGGGGCCTGGGGATCTCCTGCTTTTACAACTGAACCCCAGCTGACAGAGAACAGCTCCCCGGGAGGAGGAAATGGCTGCTTTGACGGGTGTGCTCCTCTGTGGCCTTGGACCCTGCCAAGGCCCCCTCCCCCCTCCAAAACCCCGCCCTCTCCTGGATCCACCCCCAGAGACTCCAGGCATTTCCCAACCCAGACGACCTGGCCACCCTAGCCGGGGAAGGCAGTCCACCATGGGGGACTCCCTGCGGGGTGGAGATCCTTAGAGGGGCTTGACAGCCACCATTGGGACTGCCTTTGGAGCTGCCAACTCTGGGTTTGGAAATCCCTAGAGATGTGGGGGTCGAACGCGGGAGCCACGGGTCCTGAAGAGGGGAGGGGACCCCAGCAGGGTTCAGTCCCATTGAGCCTACCAACGGAAGCAGCTGTTCTCTCCAGATCTCTGTCGTCTGTAGATCCATTGTCATCCCAGGAGATCTCCAGGCCCGACCTGGAGGTTGGCAGACTAGGGCTCCGTGTGGTCCGACGTAACCCTCGAGCTTTGCTCCAAGAGACAATGGACTATGTGGATCCTAGCCCGCCCCAATCAGAGGGCTAGGCTCCCGGCCGAGAGCCTGTGGGACTCTCGGCCACTGTAAATAACCTATTGTGTAGTGTGTGTGTTTTGGGTGGTGGTTTCTCAGGGAATATAAGCCGGCCTGCGAGCCAGCTAGAGCTGTCTTGTTCCTCACGAATAAACGTACATAAGCTGAAATCTCTCGTCTATCTGTGTACTTTTCAGCCATGTTGAGCTGGTTCCCATGAGGCTGGCAATGGGCAGGAACCGCTGCTGCTTCCACCCCCTGCCCTAAAACGAGCTCTCATTCCTTAGTTGCCCCCAACAGGCCTGCTGGGGGGGGGGGGTTCGCTGCCAGCAGTCAGGCTGCACGCAGCAGCCGGGGTTCCCTGCCCGGGGCTCTCAGCCAAGACTGAGGAGCCCATCACCAAAGAGGTGGTGGGCCGATTTCTCCCACCCCCTCCTGCCTTTATTGTCCTTCTCCCCCCCCCCTTCCAGGAATGTGGAGTCCTTTCCAAGAGGAAGGTCCTAAGGAAAGGGGGGGCCCCTGCATACCTTTTGAATACCTGTCCGCAGCCTTCTGTTTTCCTGCCCCCTTCTTGCCACATTGGCCACAAGCAGGAGCAAATGACTCCGGTGGTACTTATAGCCCTAACCGCTCTGACGAAGCAAGCGCCAATGTTTGGTGTGCCTTCTTTCCCCTCTAGACAAAAGAGGGCAGAACACTGTTGACTTAGTGTTGAACCCTCAATCCTTTTTACAAACACACAACCTGCCTCTTTGTAATGGCAGAGCACGGGTGTGGAGAATCCGCGGTCTCCCTGTCTGTGAACTAGCTCTCCCTGAAAATGAGTGACAGAACCAGAAGCGGTCACCCTGCCTGGTTTTACATTCTTCTTCTACAGAAATCTGATCTGGAGGCTTTGGAGAGTAATGGAAAGATCTCTGTTCACATAGATGAATACTAAAGCATAAATTCATACGCCACAATATGATCCACTGAGCCTTCGGGGTAGGGCGGGATATAAATCCAAGGATAAATAAAATAAATAAATAAAAATAATAAATATTATTACTGATGCTACGCTGGGACAGAATTTTGGGGAGGTTTCATGAGAAAGAGCTGCTTTTCTACATTGAGACCAGGCAAAAATCAGACAGGGCCACACCTTGACTTCTCAGACACGCATGACGTGCAGGGTTGCCAACTCCAGGTTGGGGAATTCAGGGAGATTTGGGGGTGGAGCCTGGGGAAGCTGACGCTTGGGAAAGGTGGCCTCTCGAAGGCCAGGGGGAGTCCACCCCCCCCCCGGGGGAGCCAATCTCTCTTCTTGGGAGACCAGCTGAAATCCCAGGAACCCTCTCGCGGGCCTCCTGGGAGGTCAGGCGCTCTCCCGACGTCACAGCTGATCTCCAGGCTACGGGAATCCGTCCCCCCGACTGCTTTGGAGGCTTCGGGGGCTCCATCATGGGACTCATATCTCTCCTCAAGGGCCATCTCCAGGAATTTCCCAAGCTGGAGTTGGCAACCCTGTGATACACTGGAGTTCTAACCTTGCTTGCTACATGTGAACTTATGTTTAACAGGGAGAACTATGAACAGCTGGTCTGATCAGAATCCTACTGAAGTCCAGACGATGAGGCTGACTCCCGGGACAGCGCGCTTAGGATCGCACTGGGCCCTTATCCTACTGGAGGGAACCAGAAACATTTGCAAGGCAGGCACTTGAACTTGAACAAAATAAACTACCTGAAGAATTTGGATAATTCTGCTCCGCACCTTCCCCTTGCTCTTTTCTTCATGAAAAACAGGGTATTAAACCAACTCTTTTCCTTCTTCTCCCCTGTTGCTTCCTCGTTTCAGCAAAGACATAGATGCTGCATAAAACTCAAATGCTTTCAGAAAACGAACCGTGCACCAAAGTCCCCCGTATGTCCTGAGGTGGGGACCTGTGGCCATGATGCCCAAGAATAAATCAGCACACAGTTGTGATGCTGGCATTGCCTCAGCTCATGGGCTTGTGGTGAGCCCCTGGGGCAGGGGGCGACCTTCAGAAGGATGAGCAGAGGGAGTTCTTCCAGGCTGACTGGAGGCGAGACGTCTTTGGTTTTGGACTGGTGGACACCCAAAGTTGCGAGCCAAGGTATAGCAGGGCTGTAGTGCCTCAGCACTTGCGGTGGTAGCACATTTCCCTGGCTAGTCCTTCACGAAAGAAACGCTTGCAAAGTGCACACTTGATCGTGCCAGTTTTCTACATCTTTCAAAGCATCGTTTCCCCCCAAGCCATGCTGTACTTCAGGTGTGCTGTGATGGTCAGCATGCCAGAGCAGGCGGGGAGAATCTGGGATTGAATCCCCCCCCCCGCCATGGGATCTTGCTGAGTGACTGTGGGCCAGTCATTGTCTCTGTCTAACCTACCTTGCAGGGGTGTTGTTGGGGGACAAAACGGAGGAGGGGAGCCCCATGATGTAAGCCACCTTCGGTAGAAAACAAGCACAGAAATATTGAAATAAATAAATGGCACTTTCTACCTGCAGGCCCAGACACACCTGAGTAAGGATGTGGTCTTAAACAGAGGATGATGATAAACACCCGCACTTACCACTGCTGTCTAGAAGGATTTCCCTCCAGGATGTTGAAGGAATGTGCTGAAAGAAGTAAATAGCAAATGCTCCATTTAAGCTCTATTAAACACACACAATCTCCTCTTTCCATGCCCTTTCCTTAAGTCCAGTTCCAGCATTAGTCATGTACAGTAAACACTTAGAAGCTGTTAAATACACAAAATCACATCACACCTCAGGAGGAGGTATTTGAGTGGGCTGAATTGCCTCGTCCCTCTTGATAAATATTTGGCTCGGGGGTTAAGTCTTATTTCTCCTTCCTCTGTTCATGTCTTGCACCAATTCATTTCAGAAGTGCCCCTGAAGGATCTCAGGGCTGCCTCCGGCATGCCAGGGAAACCGGGCTCTGTGAGGGAGCTCCCGCAGAGGGGCAAATAGGGCAGAAAGCCACCGGCCACAGGAGGAGCCTCCACATCAGCACTAGTAGCTGCCCAAAACATGACCGGTTCTGCCCATTATAAAGTCATATTTTAAGATTAGGGTTCTTGACACCACCATTCAGCGTGAACACTAACAATAGTCCACAATTTGCCATATTTAGCATAAGATTTTGAAGAGATTTTGTGTACTCACAATAATAAAGTGCTCAGTGTCTAGCATGTAAGGGGGGGGGGGAAACAGTCAAGAAAAAATGGATGACCAAGAACTGGTACCCCCAAACAGCTTTGCTTGCAGTAACCGCAGACTGTCACAGAACTGTAGAGCTGGAAGGGGCCATACGGACCATCTAGTCCAGCCCCCTGCCCAGTGCAGGACCAGCCTTAAAGCATCTCTGACAAATACTCGTCCAGCCTCTTTGTGAAAGCTGCCCGTGAAGGGGAGCTCACCACCTCCCTGGGCAGCAGATTCCACCTTTGAACCACTCTGACCGTGAAAAAGATTTCCCTGATATCCAGCTGATACCTTTCTGCATGTAATTTAAACCTATTGCTTCGGGTCCTCTCCTCTGCTGCCAACTGGAACAGCTCCTTGCCCTCCTCCAAATGACAGCCTTTCGAATATTTAAAGAGAGCAATCATGCCCCCCCCATCTCCTCTTCTCCAAACTAAACATTCCCAGGGCCCTTAGCCTTTCCTCGCAGGGCTCAGTCTCCAGACCCCTGATTGTTAGAAGTGGAGGGCTTGGCGCTGTCTCCTGTCTCAGACTTGAGAAGATGGCACCAAAGAGTTTAGACAGATGGAGAGGTCAGGACACACAGAGCGTCCTTTCCTTCCTGCGGTCTGATCCTTTCCTTTGAAGTAGAATGCTGCTCTTAGGGGCAATTCCCTCTGCTTCCGCTCCCACTCACTCCTCTCTCCTCTCTCTCCCACGCACGAAGAAGGTGCTTGACCTCCATCTTGCACCATGGAGGCTGGACATGCATCCAGCATCCAACACCATCTAGCAAGTTAGAACGGGCAATCTATCTCTATCTCTTACCTGCACTCCCAACCATGTATTTCCTTTAATAAATGTTACTTAGTTTTTTAGAACTGACTGCTGACTCCGTGTGACTTTGTAAGTCTGCCGCCACACCAAGCCCCAAGCTCTGCTGCGTTTAAGCCTTTGTGCACTTTGCTATTTTTTCCGTGGTTCCCTGGCAGTACCTGGTCCAGAGAATCCAACACTGATCATCCTCCTCGCTCTCTTCTGTACCCTCTCGATTTTGTCCGCATCCCTTTTGAAGTGAGGCCTCCAGAACTGCACACAGAACTCCAGGTGCGGCCTGACCAAGGCAGTATACAGAGGGGCTATGACCTCTTGCAATTTTGATGCTATGGCCCTTTTAATACAACCCAAGACTGAACTTGCCTTTTTTTACCACCGCATCACACTGACTGCTCATATTGAGTTTACAGTCCACTCTTATCCCAAGATCTCTTTTGCATACACTACTCCCAAGAAATGTATCCCCCCTCCAGTACTTGTGCTTGGCATTTTTGTGGCCCAGATGTCATACTGTGCATTTATCTTTGTTGAATTGCATCCTGTTTGCAACCGCCCACTTCTCCAGAGAATTCAGGTCTTGTTGAATGTTAACTCTATCTTCTTGGGTGTTTGCTACTCCTCCCAATTGGGTATCATCAGCAAATTTAATGAGTAGCCCTTCTACCACTTCATCCAGATCACTGATAAAAATATTGAAAAGTACCAGGCCCAAAACCGAGCCCCATGGCACCCCGCTGGACACCTCCCTCCAATCTGATGAAATGCCATTGACCACCACTCTTCGGGTGCAGTCCTCCAACCAGTTCCCTGTCCACCGAACTGTCCTAGAGTCCAGTCCACAGTCTTCCAGTTTGCCCATCAGAATGTCATGGGGAACCTTATCAAAAGCTTTACTGAAATCCAGGTAAATCACATCAACAGTAAATCCCACGATCCAGTAAGCTCGTCACACGATCAAAGAAGGAAACCAGGTTGGTCTGACAAGATCTGTTGGGGACAAAACCATGCTGACTTCCCCGGATCACTAAGTGGTCCTTCAGATGCTTACAGATCGTTCCCTGTAAAATCTGCTCTAATAGCTTCCCAGCAACAGAGGTCAGACTGACCGGCCTGTAGTTTCCCGGGTCATCCTTCTTCCCTTTCTTAAAGACTGGGATAACATTCGCTCTCCTCCAGTCTTGTGGCACCTCCCCCGTCCTCCAGGAGGCCTTGAAGATGATGGACAGAAGGATGATGTCATAGAAGGAGGTACAGTCCTTGGACTTATTTGTCATAATTTCACAAAGCACGGGGGTTAGGGTTATAAAGCACCAGCTACACTTTTAGAAGAAAGCATTTGAAAAGTGAGCATGAAGAGATGATGGACAGAAGGATGATGTCATAGAAGGAGGTACAGTCCTTGGACTTATTTGTCATAATTTCACAAAGCACGGGGGTTAGGGTTATAAAGCACCAGCTACACTTTTAGAAGAAAGCATTTGAAAAGTGAGCATGAATACCTGACGTTAGGAATCCCTCTCGCCCAAGATTCCCAGTGCAACACCGTTCTACTCTTGCAAAACAGGAGAAAGAGAGAGAG